TACAGATAACTGACATACAATGTTTAAAACCGTCGATACAAGGGCCAAACGCCCAAAACACTAACTATTGGGCAGCAGCAAGGTGGCGGCAGCAGCAGTGGCGCAAGGGTGGGCGGCGGCGGCAATGCGGGTGTTTGAGTACGGTCGTGGTTTAGTGTGAGAGGGAGGAGGGAAAGCGTTGAGGTTGAGGTTGAGTTCTTGCGCATTCTGCTGAAGTGAACATACTGATATATGGCCATGAAACGCTGTCCCGGACAGCGTTTTACCCATTGAATTTTTTTTAAAAAAAACCTAAGGATAAAACGCTGTCCGAGACAGCGTTTTATGCCCTACTGAATTTAAAAAAATACAGAAGGTAAAACGTTGTCTGGGACAGCGTTTTATGTTCAACATACAATTGTTAATAATTTTTTTTAAAAAAATACAAAAGGTAAAAACGCTGTCAGAGACAGCGTTATACCAGAGCATAAAACGCTGTCTCGGACAGCGTTTTATGCTGGAAGCTTAGTTTGGTAAATAGTTTTGCCACGCAACCATTTTCGTAAATAGTTTCCGTTTAAAGCTCAATTTGGTAAAACGTCCAGGTGGATGAGCCAACTTGCTCAACACGAAGGAAGAAATCAATCAACCTACCAAGTATGACATCAATAGAAGAAATCCGTACACCCGACTTTGAAGCCTTTAGGTTTTGAAAGCAGACAAAAGGTGATGTGAAACATATATTACGGACAAGAGGGTGTTTAACTAAAGTGAGACAGTAGTTTCATTATTAGATGCATCTATAGTATTACGTAGAAACCATGTACACTTGGAACATGTTCTCATACGATTATTTTCAGTTCAGTTCAGCTCTAATAAGTTAAGTTCAGTTCAGTTTAGCTCTAATCAGTTAAGTTTAGTTCAATTGACCTCATCTCCTAATTTCCTTTTCTTACAAAATATTCATTTCATTTTAACTCACCTCAGCTCTAATAAGTTCAGCTCAGCCCAACTTATTTCAGTCAATGAGAACAGACCCTTATACAGTATATGTATACAAACCATGTAGCTTCAATTTCCTTATTCGTTTGTTGGATTGTCGGATGCATCTCAACGTGTGTAATTGTAGAACATTATGTAGAAGAGTAAGATAATCAAAGGTCATTGTACTACTCTCTGCTTATTGATGTATAAGAGTGATAATTTATATTATAAAATCTTTTATTATTATTATTATTATTATTATTATTATTATTATTATTATTTATTATTATCTTTCTTGTTGTCATTTTTTTCCTTGATTTGTTTATTAATTTAATGTTTGTTTAATATATATCACATACGATTCCTGGAGGAATAATTACTAGCATGTATTCTTCATTTATATTTAATGATAAAAAAATTAAGTCAATATTCAACAATGCTTGACTCTAACAGAGAAGAGAATGGTGGAGACTAGAGATAGAGTGAAACTAAGTGTAGTAGAAGATGGACTAAACCCCATTATACCTTAATGTGCTAAATCTTGTTCTCGGCCACATGTTCTCAACTTCTTAATATATTTTCTAATTACAAAAAAGCAAGAAAAGTGTGGATTCTGGGTACTTACCAAGTTCCTTTTTTTTTTTTTTTTGTTAAATTATTAACCATGATTGTGCTTTGGTAGAATTTATCTAACTTCTACTTTAGCTGACATCTCTTTACAGGATTAATGATATTTTTTTGGCTTGAAATCAGCCCAAAACACTTATTTAGGTCAACATGGATTCTTTATAAACGTCCACACTTTTTTTTTTGTCGTTCTTTTTGAAGAAGATGTGCTTATTTGGAATTAAAGCTGGCAATCCTGACCCAGACCCGATGACCCGACCCGAATGACCCGACCCATGACCCGAAACCAGTGACCCAAAATTGACCCTAAACCCGAATCAACCCGACCTGACCCATACCCGACCCGAAGTGGAACTGATCCGACCTTGACCTGAAACCCGAAATGACCCGACCCGAGACCCGAAATGACCCGACCCGAAGTTGACCCGAGACTTGAAGTTGACTCGACCTTTAAATTGAATAAATTGACCCAAATAGCCTCGAAACCCAAGTGACCCGAACCAAAATTATCTTATACCTTAAATGACCATAATTCAATTAAGCTAAAGACTTGACCTTAGTAAACCGAAATAGAAAAAAACTGTAATCAAATTGACTTAATTTTTTTTTTATTAATCTGTGATGTGTAACCCAATGCATCACTCGAATTTGACCCGAAAATTGACCTGACCCGAAAATTGACCCAACCCGAACTGACCCGACCCAAACTTGACCCGACCCGAAGTGTTGACCCAATACCCAACCCGATTATCAGTCTACCCGAAATCAACTCGAGACCCGAAATGACCCGACCCGACCCGATAACCTTTTGACCTGATAACCTTTTAACCCGAACTTGACCTGACCCGAATGACCCATTTTCCAGGTCTACTTGGTATAGTGCAGTATGGTCTCTTAAAACTCTTAGTGAAAGAACACAATTAAGAGGTCTTGTGTAAAGTAAAATCTAGGATGTAAAATATTTAGAATGACCTTTTTTTATTAGTTCTTAAGAAATATCAAGTGTATCTTTAAAGCGTTTTGATAATTTAAGGGGCCGCACGTGATCGTTGATTCTAATGGTTATGACAGACCACGTAAACTGCAACCACGTGTTGAGATAGCGTGACGGTAATGGCTCTAATGTATATAAGAACTTTAGATTACTAGCTCATGCTTTTTTCCTATGCTCCTTCATTTGCATGAACGTTACATACTTACGTATCAAGTTATGTATACACTTTTAAAAATGTTATGTGCAAACACAATATTCTATTTAACCGAATAAGTCAAAGATATACAACACTTTTTGACAAGAATTTAGATTTTGAAAAGAAAAACAATATTTTTCAAAAAGACTTTATAATTTGGAAAATCTAAGTGGACAATGTAACAAAACATGGAAAGAGATAGGAGAATGATTGAGACCAGCAGGAATGCAAATAAAAATTAACATTCTAAATTTTGAAAATCAGAAGATAGGAAGGGGGATTTTTTCCTTCCCGTAGACATTGAAACGCAAAAATCCAACACATTCTACCACGTAATATTTCCTTCAGTTTGCATATACCATGTTTCTTTCCGTAGACATTGAAACACTTTATTTTGTTCATCTTTATATCTTTCAAAATGACCTTAATAGTGTATAAAAACACACAAAGGAGAAATAAGCCACAAAATTAAAAAAAAAAAATACGTAAATAAAGACATTAAATTTTAAAGCAGTTAACCTAAAATCTGGGAACATGACTAGAAAATAAATGACAAAATGACACTCATCACATATGAGAGAGGGAGAGAGAGAGAGAGAGAGAAAGAGTGGAAGGTGTTGGCAAAGAGAAGGGCAAGGAGAAAGAATGGGGCCGTGAGAGAGAGAGAGGGCTAGAAAAGAGAGAGAGCAAGTTAAGAGAGGAAAGGACATGTGAAGAGAGGATAAGGGAAGAGAGAGTGAGGGGAAGAGAAAGGGGCAGGGGGAGAGGGAGAGAATGAGATAGGGAAGGAAGGAGAAAAGGGAGAGAGAAGGGGAAGGAGTTGGGAAATAGAAAGGTCGCTAGAGAACGCGGGCCGAAAAAGAGACAAAGAGGGCTATAAGAGAGAGAGAGAAAGGGAGGACGAGGGAGAAGATGTCTAGGAAAGAGTGAAAGAAACAAAGGACATGAGAGAGGAGTTAAGAGAAAAGAGAATGAGAAAGAAAGAGGGTCTAAGGGGAAGAAATAAAGAGAAAGAGGACCAGAAGAGGGTGAGAAGGGTTAAAAGAAGACGCGATAGAGTGATAAGAGATAAAGGGGCCTAGAGACACAGAGAGGGGCTGGGAAATAAAGGAGATAAGGAGGCCGGAAGAAAGAGAGAAATATAAAAAAAAGCCGGGAAAGATAAAGAAGCCGGGAGATATGGATTGGGATGACAAGTACAACTTATAATTTTCAAAAAAAAAGGAGGGAGAGAAAGAGTTTTGCCCAATAAAAAAGAAGGAATGATTAAGAGACGAGCAACTACGGCCAATAATTTTCTAAGCCATTAACAAAGTAAAACATTTTTTCTTATAAAAACAAGGAGACAAGACCAAGGGAAGAGAAAGAGAGAGAGAGAGAGAGAGAGAGAGAGAGAATGCGGGTCAAAAAGAGATCAAAAGGGAGGAGAGAGATACAGAAGAGGTCTGGGAGAAAGCGAAAGAAAATTCTTTTTACACCTCATTATTGAGAAACGGTATTTTTTTGGCCAAGACAATTAAATTTACCTAAATTAGATCGTATATTCACTCAGGAAATACAAATTTCGAGGATAAAAATAGCATTAAAATTCAATATTCAACACAAAGAAAAAATAAATAAATACAAAAACAAGCTTTGAATAAGTTTAGATCACACCAATTATGTAGACTGATAACAAAGAAATATACAATTTTTTCATATGTTTTGCTATTAATCCATTTTACATAACTTTATCCTTTAAAATTGCATTTCTTTATTACTGCTCCTTATTATCACAATCATTTTAAGACGGAGATATTTGAAAATGATTCAGCTACTCAATAAAAAAAAAAAAAAAAAAAAAAAAAAAAAAAAAACCATATTGCATTCTATAATAGTAGTATATATTTTTTAAAAATCTTTATATTCTAACAAATTCTAGATAACTTTTTTACTTTTAAAAATGTCTTTCTATAAATATTTCCTCGTAGAAACTTACTACTCCTTGTAAATTCATGTATCATTGCTACTGCGAAACCCGAACAAAACCACGAATATCACAAAAACCGAACAAAATCACGACTAGTCTTTTAAAGTGTCTAAAATAAAAATGAAATTATTCAAAGTGTTACACGGGGCAAAGCCCGGGATCACACGCTAATTAGCAAGTTAAAAGATGCTATTGCTATGGTAAAATCGAGACTCTCTTGAGGTTAGTAAATGTACAGAAAACACAACACATAATTTAACCACTGGATCTCTCATGTGGATTGACTATATCTTATGAGAATGATTCGAATGAGAAATTTACTAATTTAACTCAAATGTTGTAAATCCATAATATATAAGATAATTATGAGAAATTATCTTTTAGTCTGCAACACGCAACTTATTGGCATATCTCCCAAATACAATTCAGATTGAAAATAAATAGATAAACTAATACGAGTAGAAGGTCCCGTGAAGAGTTCACCAACTAGCTGATTCTTCATTTTTTCTTGGCAATGAACAAACCCCATCGCTGCTCACCTCCTTTAGTCCGCACTAACTTGGCCTTCCACCCATCAACTATATCATTGTAATCTTGCTGAAAATCGTTGCAACAATAAAATGTAAATCATTTTCATAAACTATCACAAAACCAATTTCGATCCTTAATTTAATTTGCAAGATCAATGAGAAATAGAAGATATAAGCAGTAGCAAGTGGCATAATGGTACAAACCTCAGAGAAATCAGCAATGAATTCATCCTTCTCCTTCTCAAGAGCATCTAGTTCCCTCTGCAGAACTTGAATGAACTGAAAGCAAACAGCAAATCAGGGAAATAAAGGTTCAGTTTCAATTTCCCCAGTCAGAAATTATAAAAATACAAATTAATAACGAGTGAAATGCAAAACCTGGTCAGTCCTATCCTCGGCAATAACCTCAACAAATCCAGCATCTTTAAGCATCTAATAGAATCAAAAGTCACGTGATCATAATTTGTTAATATCAAGAAGTTCCAAATTTAAACACAAAGCATAAATTCAATAAGCTTGCCTGCCCATATGCCTTCACATCGTGGAGATCATACCCCCTCTGCTTGATGTAAGATGCAAATTCAGGTGAAGGTGGACCAGCACTCTTGCAGTAGTCACTGATTAGAACTTTGCCTCCAGGCTTCAGCCATTTGAGGAAGGATCTAAATAATGCAGGTTTGTCCTGAATATGATAAATAAGTTCAGGAGTTAGTTTTTCCATTTAAAAGAACTTTCCTTTAAGTCTATCTCATAAGTTGTGATGCAGATTACTGCAGTTAGTGTATTCTGAAGTCAGTACAATTCAACATGGACAGCTAGCAATTTATTAATTGATTTTTTTTTTTTTCCTAAGATATTTGGCATTTAAATTTAAATCTTCAACAATAGTATTTGGACATTAAATTGAGTAACTACTTTGAATCATAATTGAAAAAGTATGATTTAAAATGTTCACACATACTTAAATATTTGAATCCTAAATATCAAAGAAAGCATATTACCTGAATATGCAAAATGGTATCACGACTGTAGATGACATCGAAAGAGTTCTCAGGGTAATCTTTCTTGGTACAATCTGCCACCTCAAACTCAACAGCACATTTGAGACCAATTGAACGCTCAAGGGCAAAAGAGATCATATTAATAGAGAGATCAATTCCGACAACCTCCACATCATAGTTCTCTGCCATGTAAAAATCACCTCCACCTATGCCACAACCCACATCTAGGACCTTCTGGCCAGGCTTCAAATCAAGCTTCGAGACGAACTCTTTGGTTGTTTCTGCTCAGAACCAAATACGCTAACATCAAACCAAGAGTGATTTCATAAAGCATGTAAAAATATTCCAGAAAATGTTAGTTCTCAAACTCACCCATACCACCCGTAAAGGGGTGGTCATATTTGAGAAAATACAAGTTCATCTTGATGATAAACAACATTTGTTTATTTAATGGCATTTTTGTAAATAAATCAATAAAAAATCCCAATCAGCATGGCATTTTCGTAAATAAGTTAACATTTGTAGGACCGCATATTAATAAAAGTTGTTCACTTATTTACGAAAATGCCATGATGACTAGGATGAATTGTTGATATATTTACGAAAATGCCATTAGATAAACAAATTTGGTTTATCATGAAGATGAATGGGGGCTCCCTCATCATATTTGATCTTAACTAAGATCGACATGAATGATGTATTTTAAAAGAAAAACCCCAAACAAATTCAAAAGCGTTTGTTTGAAATGAACAACATATGCTTTCTTTTCAATACCAAATTTGAGCAGTTTCATAAATATGTTTGATGATGAAGCACAAAATATGGTAATCAACAATGACACGTCATGACAATGAAGGGAGTCTCCTACGGAACACAATCATATAATATGTTTTCTCTTCTTTTGATTAGACCAAATCCAAAACAAGAAGTATAGTTCTGAAAAGCCCCCACTTCCCCGAAGAACAGTTATTGAAAGAAAATGATCCTCATTTCTGTGTAGTCTTTCGTTTTTAGATTTTAAAATGAGAAACAATTAGTGTTTGCTTATAATAGTTATGACAACTGCTAGGAATCAAGGCAGATATCTCTGTGATAGATGATCCTCATGTCAGGTTTTTTGAACTAATTAACGAATTTATCAAGTATAACTATTCGGAGTATCAATTTACCAACTTATAAAAAGCTGCACACTGACGACAGAACATTATAAATAGGGTAAGAACTCCAAACTTACCGATTCCTCCAGTGCTAACATAGCCTGGACCAAATACCCTTTCATACCGCAGGATGCTGTTAAATTTGTACTGACTCGTATCCAGAAACTTCTGGAAACCTTTATCATCCTCTGAATCAACTTTCTGCCATAACCAACTAATCTACAACCAGAAGTCACTTTTCAGTTCATGTTGCTCACTAGTTGTGATCCACAGTAAATAATAGAACTATGGCACAGAAAGAAACATCCATGACCTGGTTTTGATTCTTCTTGCTTCTGACATAAGCTCCAATACATTTGCATCCAATAAGGGTGAGCTCGTAGGAGTTCCCAGATTCATCTGTCATATGGCATTCTTTGAAGACCTGTAGCAATGAATGACTTTAGTAGTGAGAAGCAAAGTATCAAGTTTGAGGTAGCAGAAGAAAGGCTAGAAATATTGAATAAGGTACTTCCATATCTAAATCAAAATTCCAATAGCAAATATGATGCAAGGTGCACAACATCACGTTTTACTAATAAATTATCAAAGACGCATGGACAATGACCATAATAAGAATTAAGATAGCATATAATGCCTTTATTTTTGTTTATATAATTATATAAAGTAATTACACTGTTGATTTCATATATGAAGCTTTATATTATAATATAGTTAGCAATTGCTTATTATGCTTAACATAGTAGGCTACTTGATAGAGTATGTTGGATGCAGCTCTAATCGTAACCAACTAATTACAACAGGAGACCAAGATTTTTATGTTATTCTCAAGAGTATCCAATTTCTAAAGAGAAATTTATGAAGGTATGCTCTCTACATATTTCACGGCACCACTCATCCATTGAATCTGACATGGCTTCCATTTTCCCTAAAGCTTAAAAAATGTCATGATAGCCCTAGAGTTTATAGATTAAAATTAAAAATAAAGGCAATAAATCCTCAAATGCATATGAAAAAAATACCAGCTTAGCTTGCTTTGCTTGCGCCTATCGGCGGACTCTATTGGAAAGGTTTAATGGCCATGACCGGCTAAAGATCACTGCCATCTCACGAATTGGATTCATACACATATACAAATAGATAGCCTTTCCCAGTATTTATGTTTTTTTAACAAAATTTGAAAAGCTGCTACTACTCATGTTCTATAATTATAAAATTAAATGTGTAGGTGTGAAGATTGTCAACAGTATAAGCAATGACTGAAACCTTTGCTAGGCCTCTCCAACTTAATTTGCATCTGTAACATCCATTTTTTTTTTTTTTTTTGCTTTTAATTGGACTATATCAGCAGCATCAAATTTGCCAATTAAAATATTTACAAATCCTCTTTAGTGTAAGTTAGCAGAGGGTCTAATCATAGCAGACTTGTTGTAAATTGTAAAGACAAGATTACACAGGGGAGAGCCTTCTTAGAGTTTTACGAGCAATAATGAAGCAGATGCATAATAGCCTTCGAATCTAGGTCCACTACTTATCAAAGCATAAAGACAAGGATATTTAATTAAAGTACGAACTACTTATATCACCAGATACACAATGAAATTAAATAATTTCCACCGCATACATAAGAGAACAATCTACATGATTACAGATGAGAAATGGTTAATTCTAAACATGAATGACATTCATGTAAGTTTTGTCAATGATAACAAATTAACAATGATAACAAATTCTGCATCCTGTGCTATAAGAAGAATACATACGTAATGATTTAACCAACTAATTAAGAGGAAATGGGCATAACAAACATTAAAAAAAAATGTAAGAAAACATGAATCACAACCTTGGTGTAGAACCTAGGTTCACGATAGTGAGTCGGATTGCTTTTGCGCTTGTGATCTCCAGATTGATGAAAGCAAGATTCTCTGAAAAAAATGTACCCTCCTGGCTTCAACCATTTCAACATCCTTTCAACCAGACGTTCAACCTATAATTTTAACAGGAAAGTAGGGAAATTATTAAAGCAGTTTTCACAATTTGCAAATTACTTACCAGATAAAAGTTGGTAGACTTTAGCACAAATAGTAGATTTAACTTCACAAGCTACTTTTTTAATGCTTCAAATTTTCAGTTGTAGGTGTAGATTGTAATTAAAATGCTCTTTGCAACCATATACCACTATGGTAATGAGTATAATGACTATATGCTTGGTTGTAGTAGTAGATACTAAATGCTTCTAATGCTAAATGTCGCATGGCAATGCAGAAACGGCAGATAAATCAAGAAGCTATTATCTAGAAAGGCATTCTAGACAACCATGCTCAAGAAAACAGCGGAACAACCAGTGTTAATTGGGGAACTAAGGGTGGACCCCAAAGTATACCTCTTCATCAGAAAGATACATGAGTAGCCAATTGGAGAATATGATATCCACAGAATTTGGTGAAAAATTGAGACTGGGAGATGTCACATCAGCACACATAAACTTCACATTTTTGTAATGCCCATTTATGCATTCATTCTGCGACCAAGAAAGGCATTAAAGCAGTTAGAAGTAGAGAAGTGCGCACTTGCAGACAGTACCATAGTGAAAGAGAAGTAATCATTTCTACAAAATCTGAAAGAATACACAAACTACAGAAAATCAAGAGATAGAAAGATGTCATGTTTCCACATCACCTTCTTTATAACACTCTCAATGAAATCCAGAGCAATAACCTGGCCAGCTTTTTGGGCCAATTCACCAGTAAAACGACCAATACCAGCACCGAGTTCTAACATGGACTTTCCTTCATAAGGTGGAAGCATGGAAAGTACCTATGCCCATAAAAAAAAATTGTGTTAAAAAGTCTCATACAGTTCATTGATAAACATTTGCAACAAGAGATAATAAAGAGTATACACTCTTACTTCCACTTACCTTTAATAAATTATTATAGTCCAAAGTCTTGAAACATACATGCCATGGTTTCTCAATCGACATAATACAATTACAAGTAGAATCATTCGTTTCTAATAAGACTAATGATTACTACTACTATTATATGTATTAAGTTTGTTAATAATACTTTAGTCTTATTAAAAGTATGTTAACATAGAATCAGATGTTTCTAGCTAATAGCTACTACTATTATTTGTAAAGATTAACACAATCTTGTCATTCTATTACAGGATTAAACTATTAATTTCCTCTAGACTTATCAAGTTATTAGCTAATTCACGCCAACAACTTGCTTTGAGTAGTCCATGTGAAGCATACACTTTTATGCACCAACTTGTGGTCAAGTTCAACAACTCCATCATCATAAACCGAGTATATACTTGTATAATTCCTCTGTTTTTATATACTTACAACACATTTTTCTGCCTCTGTATTTCAAAAGAAAAGATAAAAATGTGTAGATTATGCTATAAAACATAAATCGTAACGAAAAAGTACATAACAATTCTTTTATTATCCGTTTACAGTGTGTGTCAAAGTGATGACCTAAAGATAATAATAATATATTAAGGATCTATTCTTATTTACAGAACTAAGCTGAGCTCAACTGAATAGAATTAAAATGATTTGTTTATAAACTGAAATAATTAGGGCTAAATTGAATTGAACTGAAATTAAGCTCTAGAGAACAAGCCCTAAGTATTAATCTTTTCAATTCCAAATAAAAGTCTCGTCTAACCCAAAAATCCCAGCCCCTAAATTAAAGCCTCATTTCCCCTTTGTTTATGCATTATTTAGCTACTTACAACTTTTAAAAAGCTATTATTATTATAAACTGTACTATGTTGTTTTATACGAGTATTAGCATTTAATCAACATCACTCTATTATACATAATATATAATATAATATACATACGCAAAAATACAAATTAGATTTTTTTTAATAGTATTACTATTGTCAGGAGAAGATATAGTATCGGTAAGCGCAAAATAGATCAAGTCACATGAATGAAATAGTTGGTACAAAGCATAGTAGTTACTTATGTACACCACTTGAGTTATTAAAAAATTGTCATATTGATAAAAGGGCAAAAGGGGTAAATTCAAGTTGATCTCTGAGATAAATGATGTGATTAATCTTCTCTCACAATTTATTCATTTTATTTAATTTTTTAAATGATAAAAGTAAAATAATAAAGTGGCACAGATTTCAACTCATAAAATTGTGAGAGGAGGTAAATTAGATTGTTAATCTCTGAGATCAACTGGGGCTCCGTCGGGCAAAAGCTAACAAACGTCTATTAAAAATAGAAACATTAAATAAAAATGAACCTTAATTACACCGATTAATGCGTGATTTTATCATATTTTCCCAAATTAAAACCACTTTAGGTGATATTTTAAATGTTTATCCAACGCTGTAGGGGAGTTCGTTAGCAAGATCCTTGATGAAATAGTAGTCTCTACTTTTTATTGTTCTATTTTTTTACACATCTATATGAAATAAAATCACTAACTTAATGAACATGGACGTGTACAGGAATAAGACTGAATTGATACTCCGTAGTCCGTACTCAAATGGCATTCGTAAGATGGTGTCCACGTTATAAAAGTATATGTCTTGAGAGTTCATAGGAATAATAAGTCCAACATCCGAGGTATCATTATTAATTTATTTAAAGGTGGTTTAAATATATCTTTTCCTTTATACTAGTGTTAAAACACCATTCAGATTTTTTACTCTAGATTTCCCAAGTAAGTTTAAGTATATAGTAGTATTTTCAAATACTACTTACGTTTCTTTTTAATTGACACATATTTCTTTATAGGAAGTGTTTTTTTTTTAAGTTAGACACATTTTCTGTAAGGATACCTTATATTTACAAGTTAGCTACTTGTTTTTTCATTCACTCCAACTCTCTCTCCTCTCATAATCACTTAATCAGAACGAAGTTTTAACCAATCGAATCATCCTTTGCTCTATTTACACAGGTTTTTTTTTTTTTTTTCCTTTAAATTTATCGACTGTAGTATAGTCCTGGACTCCATAATATGAGGAGTACGTAAATATTTTACAAGTGTCCACTATTTAATTATTTATTGTTTTTTGGTAACAAATCAACTGTCATTTCTTATCGGCTGCGGCTTTTTCAAGATAGTAAGTCTCAGTCCCATCAAATAATGTGTACATCCCAATTTTCGGGATCAATATTGATGTTCATTACAACCAAATTAATCAAAACATAAAAAAAAATATATATCAAAAGAAGAAAAAGAAAACGAAGATACCTCAGGTCGCTCTTCTTTGTCAAGATCTGACGCTTGAGAATCAAGCATCATAGCCTCAACAGTCAAATCAACAGAGTGTTCAACCCAGTATTTCTTGAACACCTCCCTCTCTTCCGTCATTCCCAACGCTAAATAATCCATTCACAAATACCCAAAACCAGTTTAAAACAATAATCATTTTTAATTAGTATTTATATCAACAATATCATACCAATAAAACAGATTATTAGCACGAACCTGAGGCGGCCATATTGCGAGACTGGAAACGATGGATTTCAGATCTAGGAGGATAACAGACACGATTCGGAAAGAAAAAAGAGCGGGTAGTACTAGAGAAGTAATTGAAGAGGGGAAAATGGTGAAAATTTAGCGGCCTTCAATGGCAATGCGAGAACGAGAGAAAGTCCTGGATCTACGGTTCGAAGCCCTGCCTCTCTGCCGCATGCAGTCCAACAATCACTCAAAATGAAAGAAGTGAGGGTACCAAAGACAACTACCACGCTAGAAATGATGGATAGACGTTTTGGTGTGGGAAAGAATAGAGGGTTGAGGGGTCTGTATATATAGACTCGTTAGCATGATAAGAGAGAGAAAGTGGGATGGACCTACAACAATTGCGATTTTTTCTGTTAATAGTATTTTCTCACCCTTACGAGGCAGCAAGCGGTCATCATCATTGGACGATTAGGGGGTTGCCTTTTTTTTATGTGGTGATCCGAGAAACGAACAAATTGTGAAAATTGTATTTCAGTCTTGAGAAAATGAGAATTAAATTGAAAGTTTTGAAGAAAATGAAATTCAATTGAAAGTGGTACTGATACGTGTCTGGTGCTAATATTAAATTCACTCTTGTGTCATCTACTTTGTGGTACAAATTCTTACATGCCCCATGTGTTCTTGAGTACAATCAAAGAACTTTTCTTTAATTTTTAATTTTTTTTTTAAAGGACGAGGGAGAGTGAGAAATAGTTCAAGGGGTTCGAGTTTCCCACTCGATTCCAAGAAAACATGAGATCGATTCTCACTCCCGTCTTTTACGGCTTTCTTAACACCAAAAAAAAAAAAAAGAATGAGCGAATTTTTTTATTTTTTTATTTTTTGGGGAAAAATGCAGAGTACATTAAAATAAAAATATAGCGTCTAAAAGTATATAAGGAGCAAATCTTCTAGGTTGGTGATTGACCCAAACTTGTTTAACCTAAAAGGCACTAGCTTAGCAAGATGATTGGCAATACAATTTCCCTCTCTTTTCACATGAGACCAAACAAAAGAGCTAAAAGTTCTACTCATAGATAGGATATCTTCCAAAAGAATATCAAACTCTGAGAAGAAAACTATAGCCTTTGAGAGTCTATTAATGAGCACTTGTGTAGGGAATATTTCAAGCATTCTCCCAAACTTGAATCCCACTGTGATCATACATTTAAGCATGGCGGCGTCCAAATGGAAGGAAGATAGAGCAAAAGAGTCGCCAACAAGTTTTAGGAACTTGTAAACCGTCCACAGGTGAAGGTTACACCCCTTAACGATTCAAGAGATCGTCAACTCCAATAGGTCTGGAAGCAAGACTGGAAGTTCGGGGATGAAGGTACAAATCCAATCTAAAAGACAAAGAACCTGCTATAATAATAGGCCTCTACTTTATTCTTCTCGTATTCATGTGCACTTTCTTACTAACATACAATCAATAGATTAACCCTAAACCTGTTTAATCTATGTTGGTTGAATATTAATTCACAAATATAACTGTTATTGGCGATCGCTTGAATTATAATCATATTATCTTAAACAAGATTATTAATTATTTTATTAAGCGTGATTATAAGTACAAAAATTCCCTTTAAACATGCATAAAAGGCGTGATCAAGCAATAACAATAAACATATATAAAGCAACATGATAATCATAACAATAATTATAACAATTATAAAAATAATAATCATAATTAAAATAATCATGTTATAGCATAGTAATAGCAAAATCCTATGCATGATACTAACAAGATAATAACAAATCCTAGCATTTCACTAAACATTAAAAATCAATGCTTTAGCCCTAACACGATACTAACATGCTATTAAGAAAGAAATAGGAAGCATCATAACAATCATACTTGATATAATTAAGAAACTTATTCTTACCCTAAACATGATACAGAAAAGCATCATAACATGATACTAGGAAAAGCATCCAAACATGATACTAAGAATCAAAATAACAACCTAAACATGATTTCTATATCATAGTATCAATTAAACAATTAAAGCACTTACTTAAATGCCTCGTACCTCTTTCTAATAACAAAATACACACGTTAGTAACTTCAAGGAAAATAATAAATCAAAACAATTATATAATTGAAATAGAGATTAAGGACCAAACCCTCAGAAATATAAAACCTTTCACGTCTAGGGCGAAGGCAACTTCGAATTTGTCTAGATGTGTCTAATGCTAATGTTTGAGGAATTGTGTTTGTAAAAGGCTAGGCTAGAAAAGAGGGAGAGAGAATAAGGTTTAGCTCAGAGAGAGAGAAAAATTAGAGAATTCTGGTTTGGAGTTGATGATTGAAAACGGAGGTCCAGGGACCCTATTTATAAGAAAATAGTCCGAAATTGATATAAACGAATCAGAGTTCGAAAAGGAATAAAACACGCCTCTATCGCCAATGACAGGATCTGTTGCCAGGCGATAAAACCTGTCGTTCGGCGTTGCAAGACAGTTTTTGCGGATTTTGTTTTATCATATCTTTTAATCCAAAAGTCCAAATAAGTCATATAATATGTCGTTGGAAAGATATTGAAGTCTACTTTCTAACCCAATTAGAATCATATTAAAATATTTTATAGATAAAAATATATGGCCGATGATATACGTGTTTTATACAATGGTTTTCCCCGGTTTTACTTAGTAATTTTATATGGTTTTGAGCTCTACGGAGCCATTTCTTGCTAACAATCTCTTCTTTAGTGTATTCGATTGTTTTAGTAAGCTTTTCAGGAATATGAAGCGTTTCTAGGCAATTGGACGTGTTTTTAGTAGATTCGGAAGAGTTGATAGCCAAGAACTGCAATTTATGTGGAGTGCCCGACCGGGCATGGCTTGCCCGGGCAGACCGGGCAATGAAGAGTTCACAGGAAGAAGCCCAATTCTGAACGGTGCAACGCGCGCCCGATCGGGCAGGCTTTGCCCGGTCAGACCGGGCGATGAAGAAGTCAAGTTATGAAGATGCAATTCTGGAAACGTGTTACGCGCGCCCGACCGGGCGAGGTTCGCCCGGTCTGACCGGGCAAAGAAGGAAAACTGTCGTATTTTACGCAGCCTTCCTCCGCCCGATCGGGCGAGATCTGCCCGGTCTGACCGGGCGATGTTCAAGATTGCGCGATTTCAGCTATTTCCGAATTTCTATCTTTTGGGGGTATAAATACCCTTTTGTAATTAACTTTTAAAGAGAGTTTTTCATTAGTTTTTCTCCTTAAGCCCTAGAAAACTCTCAAGAACCCTAGTTTTATTTCCTTTAAGCAATTTCAATCTTTTAATCCCAGATTAATCAATTGTTCATCAACAATTTGAGTTCTTTCAATTGGAGTAATTGGTATTTATCTTACTTCACTCTTTTCTGATATTCACTGTTCTCTAAATATGTTTTCTTTACTGTTTCTTGTTTTTGAACTTGATTTTGATTTTATTATGATGTGTGAGTAGTTTCCTTAATCCGGGATCTTGCTAAGCTCGATTATGATTGATGTATAAAGTAGATCTTTAAATTCCCCAATAATAATCCCAATTGACATGCTTAATTGATTGTGTTTATGCCAATACTAGATTAGGAATAATTAGTATTGTTATCATCCCTTTGTTCTTATTGCAACGGAAGTTGGGTATTAACGGGATTAGGTTATTCCAATTAAGGGTTTGAAGATCATCACGGAAGTAGATGATTGAATAATTAGGAATCTAGGCATGGTGTTTAATGTCCCTTATTCGCTTGATTCCACGGAAGTAGGCTTGATAGTTAATTTGGGAAGCCATTGATAACTTGGAAGAGACCTTTGGTATTATTATTAGGGATTGCTTTTCTTCTTGTCAATTGATTTATATATTGGGGGTAGATTTATTAGTTTATCAATCATAATCGTGGTAATGCTTGATCTTGGATGCTTTAGTTTATTGATTAATATTTCCTCTAGTTAATTGTGTTATTTAATATATTAGTTGATTATTATCATCCATTATTGATTGGTGACGTGCTTAGTGATTAATTGAGTCTGATTAATTGAATGAACCATAGTCTCTTGGGATTCGATCCTTACTTGCCCTACTACACAGTTAGAAGGAATAGTTAGGTTATTTTTGTTAGGTACGCGATAAGCCTATCAAATTTTGGCGCCGTTGCCGGGGACTAACGGTTTCATATTGATTTTCCGTGATTCGTTTTTACTAAGCGTTGTTTGTTGCTTCGGCTATTGCCTCCTGTGTTTTTGATGTTCTTTGCCTAGTTCTTTGTTGTATGCAAACACGTCGCTCAGGGTCAGACGACTTAGTGCCTCTCGATTCAGAAATTGAAGCGACTGCAAGAAGACGAAGAAGTAGAAGAAGAGCAGGTAACAGAAATATGGAAGACCAAGCAACAAAGTCTCTTTTGGAGTACGGTATCCCTGACACAACAACCGGACTCCTTTCTAGCATTGTTAGACCACCTATCACCGCTCAGAATTTTGAATTGAAACCGCAGTTTATTCAATTCATATCCAATGATTCATTTGCTGGCACACCTCTTGATTGCCCAGTGAATCATATAGATGGTTTCTTGGAAAAGTGTGACACTATGAAGCTGAATGGTGTTACAGATGATGCTCTTAGACTTCGCCTTTTTCCATTCTCATTACGGGATAGGGCGAAGGAATGGTTAAGAGATGAGGGTTCTGGTTCCTTTGATACATGGGATAAACTAGTAAAAGCTTTTCTGGTCAAGTTCTTGGGACAAGAAAAGACTGCAAGATTAAGGAACGAGCTATCCACTTTCAGGCAATCAGATGAAGAATCCTTATATGACGCATGGAGGAGATTCAAGAGATTACAGAGACAGTGCCCTCATCATGGCATACCTGAATGGATGTTAATCCAAACCTTTTATAACGGTCTAACCCATGAATTCCGGATCTATATCGACGCCGCATCTGGAGGCTCCCTTTTAACTAAAAATCCAACCGAAGCAAAGGAGCTGGTTGAGAAGATGTCAGCCAATGACAACTATCACCCAGGCGGCCGAAATAGTGTCAAGAAAGGAGGTAAATTAGATGTTGATGCTCTAACTCTTTTAACTAGTTCTGTGCAGGCACTTTCAAGCAAGTTCGATAGATTACAAACTGGATCTTCTAATAATGTGCTAGAAACTTGTCAAATGTGTAATACTCAAGGTCACATCGCACCTAATTGCCCACGAAATTCGAATGAGGTATCAATTGAGGAAGCCAATGCCTTCTACAATTCCAACCCTAAAAGACCATACGATCCCCATTCTAATACTTATAATGAAGGTTGGA